AAAAGGGAGGGTAAACAGGAGAGTACTCACCGTGCAGCCTATCTGATTTACCGACATCAGCAAACTTTCACTTTCGATGCTGTAGCGACGCTGAACGAGGAAGTGCGACAGAGCTGGAACTTCCTTGAGTGACTCGCCACACCTCACAGGAGGTTTTTAAATAAGTTGTTTTAAGACTGAGAGCTTCTGGATTCAAAACCCTTCACGTTTTAAGTACTCTATGTAAGGGACACACATAAGCTAAAACATATTTTTTTAAATGCCATGGTTATTTAAGTGAAACTCAGCACTCAAGCCTTTATCTGGGAGTGAAACAGAGACCATGAACACACTGAATCTTTTCTAGCAGTGTTCAAACTTTCATCTAGGATGAGAGTGGAAAACTCCACCAGTAAAACTCCTGCAATATGAGGAGTCTTCAAAAACCGGGACTGATGCAAGAAGACATTAACAAACATTCACTGTATTCAGTCCAAGAAAGACAATAAGAAGACCATACAGTGACACCAACCACAGATAACATGAATGCATCTTCAAAAGCAAATAAAGTTTATAAAAACAAGTAAAATTGTACTTTTCCACTTCATAAAGGCTCTGCACTTATTCTGGTACTGTAAAGTGCTTGCAATTTGAATCACTAAAACTACTCATTATTCAACAGCAAATAACTACTTAAAATCATTTTTATTTGTTTTTTGTTTAAGAAACATTTGCATGTAAACAAAAACTGAAATCTGAGACTCCTATTTTAATTTGACAGCAGTTTGAGGTTGTAGGGTGTAAATCTCTAGTTTTTTATGCATTGGTTTGTTTCCCTCTTGAAAAGGTGAACCATCAGCACACTGAAGCAGTGTATCAGGCAGCATTTATCCTCCTTTCAGTCCAAACTCCTATCTTGTGAGAATGACAGTCATCATTTTTGGTCTGTATGCAGGCTGACATGTTAATATAAATCTTATGTTACAGTATTTGTAGTGCTGGATCCCCAAAATGAGCATTTGTGGACAGGATCAGGTGGAGAAGAAATACGACCCTCTAGACACCACCCTGAAGTTTGTCAACAGGGAGGATGACTTGGATTCATCATGTAAGATTTCTTTCATTTTTACTGAATATAATTCATATTTGGTGTTTTGTTTCTGTTCTGGAAGCAGCAGCTGGACTCCAGCACAGATCAGAGCAGGCATCAAAGACAGATATGATGGTGATTAATTCAGACACAGTATAAAAGGAGGAGTGGGGATAGAAAGGAGCTTAAATGATTCACTCTGTGTGAGATTTGTTGGATTTGGATGTGTAGAGGGGTAGCTTGACATGCAAATCTAGTTTGACTTTGTTTCCTCTCTAAACTAACAACATGTTTGATTTGTTGTTGTTCACTCCCTCCTCAGGTGATGACTCTCTCAGAGCAGAGATGTCCTGCGGCCACGCTGTTACTCCTGAATCTCTGACACGTTGGTGTCGCTCCCTGCTGGATGAGGTATGTCGTGTCTTTGTAGCCCTTTATTTTTTCTTGTAAATAAAGTTTCATGTTTAATTTGGATAACAGTGGTGCAACAAAGTTATGTTTAAGTTTTCAGCTTTGTTAAAATAAATATTTTTTAGCTAAAATTATTATACAAATGTTACCTTTTAGGTCAAGATCCTGCTTTTTTATAAATTGTTTAAGATAAATAGTTGGGTACTGGTACTCGTTTCAAGGAATAAGTTACTTTTTTAAAAGGTTATCATTGTGTGTTTGTCAGATTTGATTGTGAAAATAGCCAGTAGCTTATTAGATATAAATGTAACAAAGTACTATTATAATTATTATAATTAAAGTAAGAACCTTGAAGATTTGGACTTCAGTTCTTAGTTATTTCTCTAATTATACAGAGATTCTTTTTTGTTGTTGTTTTCAGGGGAATTACAAATTCAGATGTCCGGCTTTAGTGGAGGGAACCAAGCAGTGTAATAAAGAGTGGTCGTACCAGGAGGTGCGCAGACTGGCTGATCTGACTGTGGAGGAAATGCAGCACTTTGAAGAGAGCATGGCTCGTCTGGCTCTTGCAGACCACTTTGAGGTTCAGCCAGTAAGTGATTTATGGTTATTATTGTGACCTTTCAGCTTATTTCACTTTGATAAAAATGTATAAATTGGAGGTCTCTTTCTTTTCTTTAAAACACTGTTTCCCACATCAGTGCCCTCAGTGTAAAACAGATGTAGAGAGGAAGGATCTGTCCAACCTGTGTGTCCAGTGTGTCGTATGCACAGCTGATCAGAAGAAGAAATACCAGTTCTGCTGGCAGTGTCTGAAACCATGGAAGGATTCAGGCCTTCGATCTGACCGCTGTGATAACGACGGCTGTGAACAAGGACCTGCAACTCATGCAGACATGCAAAACCATCAGTCTGCCTGAGATGGAGGGCGTCACCAGCTGCCCCTCCATAAGACTCTGTCCTACATGTGGCATGAGGGTGGAGCATACCACAGAATACTGCAAAAATATCAAATGTCCTCGCTGCAAAATGGAGTTCTGTTTTGTCTGCCTGAAACTGAAGCGTGAATGTTCACAGACCAGTTCACCATATGAAATCTGCCCCAGTGGGGTCGCGCCAAGGCAGACCTCCATCCCTGTGTGGAGGAAAACTTAAAACAATAACACATGAACAATTTAAGAGAATATTTATATTTTCCCTCAAGGTTTTAACAATTGTTGATATAAAAAAATGTATGTTGCGTATCTCAGCTCCAAAAGACACTTTGAACTTTATTTTGTCAGCCTTTGTTTCTCTGCCTCCTACTGGCTGAACTTTAAATTGCACAACAAGAGACTTCTGTTAAAATAACTAACTGTGCAGAGAGATCATTACAAATAAATCTTTTACTCAAACATGTCTTTGAATATGAAAAATTAATACATTTCTATCAGCACTCAGTTTATTACAAATGAAATCTTAGCATCAAGCGTCAGCTCTTCTTGTGTGACAAAATGTTAGCCTGTAGTTTAAGTGCAATGTAAAAAATAAATAACTGTATTTCTTCTGTTTTGTATCAACATGCACATAGTGGATCAGTAGCTCCTAATTTCTAAGCATTAAACAAAATGTCAGACTGATTAGAAAGAAATCAAAGGAGAGCTTTGTATTTTATTAGTGACTTGATAAGTAAAAATCAGGATCACTGGATATTATTTATACAAGTTAGCACTTGTATTTCATAGAGGCAACAAAATCGTCCATTATAGAGATTCTGAATTTGTAAATTCTGTTGTCCAATCTTGTGCACAGAAATATTCATAACATCACTTTTTCTCAGAAGAAACTAACCAATCTTAAACAAGCCAGACAAGAACAAAGAACACCAGACTGCCTGACTTTGTGTTTTTTTCACCATCATATAATCTTCTTATGTCTTTACACTTTCATCCCATAATGGATTTTCTCCTTTGGACAAATTTATCACCTTCCTTTCCTCTCCTCTTTTTTTCACTTCCCTGGTCCGTCTCTCTTGCAGCCATTATTTTGCCAGAAAAACTGGCAAATTTTTTGCGATCTTGTTTCTTTCTTTTTTTTTTTAAGTTTGTTTTGCATCCATAGCATAGTGAGGAAAATAAACAACAATGTCACTGAGGGTGTCAGGTCGTTTTTCGTTTCCTTGTTTGCCAAAAAAAACTCTCAGTCAGTTCGGAATACACAAAAAAGATTTATTTAATGAAATTCAACTCGTAATAACGCACACAAAATATATTCAAAATAATCACAGTGATTGAAAGAAAACAGGTTAAAAAAAAAAAGAAAAAAAATCCATGAGATTTCAAGAGATGTTGTAGCATCAATAAACACTGATGACAGAATACAACATTGATTTTGTAAGGATGTATATTTAACTATTGATTTTCAAAAAAGGAACAAAATATGATAATAGTATTAACAAATACAAATTATTCCAGCAAATGTCAAACAAACAGTGTTTTCATCTATACATACTAGGGGTGCAACGATACACAAA